TCTTCTAATGAACAAAACTAAACTAGAGACCCAACTGGTTCGTATTTCATGAAACTATTATTTCGGGAGAAAGAATAATGGGAACCTGATTATATTCTAAATAATGAAAAGTTTATCGTTGGAGGGAAGGAATGCTAGAATAAACAAAGTGGTAGATAAAATATTACAATGTATGTAGTTCCTTCTCCTTTTCTCTTTTTGTTCCTAGCAGTAAACTAACCTCTTCCATCTGGTCAAAGAGAGCCTCCACTCCTGATTCACAGGCTGCCTGAATGGCGGAGGCTTGCTCCTGCTGCCGAGCCAACTCGCGATGAAGATGCACATCCATAGGATCTTCAAGGAGGCGCTGGCGAGACAAGTTGACGCCCAGACCACCAATCGAGGACCAGTCGGGTAGACTTGATAGCTGAGTTGAAGGCTCCCTTCAAGTAGGTGGGATGTAGAAAATATTTAGAAAGAAAAAATTTATTTTAATTGCGATATCAGCTTAGTTAAAAAGTTAGTTATGAGGCATAAATGCAAAAAGTGAAGTGTAGCTTTAAATTAAAGTTCCTGGATTCAGCTTACCGAGTAAAGTAGCGGATCAGTATGATAAGTGTGGTAAGTGTGACGCCAAAAGTGTAAGCTGCTTTGACTGTCAGATAAGCGATCAGCATACCAACGTAGAGAAGCCTAGCCGAGCGGGTATGTTGACTCACCACCCGTCTGTGATGGCGAGCTGCAACCTGAGCTATCGCCAGAGAAGCAGTTGCGTTTGAATTATTGGAGACGGTGGCAGAGGCAAAAGGAGGTACTGATTGCCCATTATCTGATGTCGACTTATCGTAGGCCACGGTACTTACAGAGCGTAAGTAAATCCGACAAGCGGCGAGCCATTCTGAACTGGGATCTGGAGAAAATAAAATAAGTGTAGAAAATATACCATAACAGACTAAAATAAAACTACAAAGCACATTTAACCAAATGTTAAGGCAAAGTTTTAGTGGGTCATATAGTCTAAAAACATAACATATTCACTATTTGCATCCATTTCGTTTAGGGTGATGAAGGACTCGTGGTTGAATTTTTTCACAATGATATGAATGGACATGACGTTTCTATTGAATTTCACATAGCCTTGCTTTCCAAAAGGTATTCTTATCCAGGGTGGACTGCAGTTTCAACCTCGCCTAGGTCTTATCAACAGTCCATATATCTGATTTAGTTGTAGTCTTGAAAACCTACTAAAAACCCAAAATAATAGATATCGTCGATTGCCATAGCAAATATAAGTTTGCTTCAAAGATATAAAGAAAAACTGGGTTTCGAAGAATTTTTTTTAATTTCGAAGGAAAAGTTGGTTGGAAGAAATTCGGCAATCCTCCTTCGGTTTCCAGTGAGACAACATCACTAATTCCTTTCAACAAACTATTCCTTCGAAATAGAAAGTCATGTCACGATGAGTTTGCTTCATCGACAATCCCACCAACGAATGTGATATGGGAAAATGCCTGGCCTGGAAATTAATATGTACCCTGTGGTAGTGTGGCGTAATGATTAACATGTCGAGATTATGCGCTATAGTGTCATGGTTCGAGTCCCACTCAAGGGTGTTGCTAATACCTATGCGAGGTCGATGGAAAAACATCATTGGAAAGCAAAGCTATATGAAATTAGATGGAAGTGTAGGTTGTACTCATAGCATTGTGAGAAAATTCAATCACCAGTCCTTTATTAGCTTAAACGAAATAGGATGAAATCAGTTCATTTATCTGATTTAATCGTAGTATTGAAAACATACTCAAAACGAAAAATAACATACTAAGTAGTATTAATGCGGATTGTTTATTTAATTCGATTCACTTTATAGCGAAAACCAGAAATGCTCATTTTAGGTAAATTAAGTGACAAACTTGTATCAGATTTACTCAAAATTTGAGTGCCGTGAAGCATTTTTATATATCTAACTTTAAGAGACTGAATCAAGTGACATTTTATACTCATGCTTTCAGAGGTAAAAAAGGATTATGACCCAAGTTTAAGTTTAAATATAAGATAAAGTCTATAAAAGCTAACTCGAAACATCTTAGTTCGGCTATTCACACAATAGAATATGTACAGTAAATGCTCAATAACAAAATATAAATATATTATGAAATTATAAAATTATGGTATAATAATAATAATATTAATTTGTATAAGAGATCGAGGATAAACTAGGAGGATAGCAAACTAATATATTCATTTGACAAATGATCTAAGCTGAAAATAACTAGCAGTTATTTAGTAATAAACAAAAAAGTAGTACACATTTGAGAGGAATTTCGTCAAGAAATAAGCTCACTGTGTCATATGCGTCTGTGACTTTACTCCTTTTATACAAAAAAATTGGATTTTTGACTAATTTTTCCTTGCAATTTGCACCAGGAGTAAAACAAGGATATACTCAAAAATGATACGAAGTGGTTCGAATCCTATGGAAAGAGCTAGTGAGATCTAGATTAAGTAGAATCTGCAGTCGAACCCGGATAATATAAGCGATATAAATGGAGCTGAGGGACCTTTAGCCTATTCAAAAGGAAACTACACACTTATTTTGGCCCTATTTTGTCGCTAAAATTCACTAGTCCTTTATCTAATTCACTTAAATCATTTGTGTTCGTTGATTTAAAATACTGGTTAAAATAATTCATTGATGTTTTGTAAGTCTTTTTATTCCGATATCTAGTTCTTATAATTACTTTATTTGTAATCTGCAATTGCTTAAGGAAAGGTCAAGAAGAAGCTTGTTTACTTTTGTTGTCATTCGAGTGAAGGTAACAAATGCACTAAGTGCTTTATAATTCAGCATTTGGCTTACCTGGCTGCAAGATATGGCCGACTAGAAGAAGGAGAACTAAAAGCAGGAGTCCAGATACAACTCCATAGACGATTTCCGAGGGTGGTCCAAGTATGGCGTCTTTGGCTAGAGCCATGAAAGCCTCAGGCCGTCGAGCCACTTCCGGTGAAGATCCGACTGCCTGGTCGGAAACAAACCGTACCGCTGCAGCAGTCTCAACCGCACCAGAGTACTTGAATTGACGACGAGCTGATAGGCTAGGAAGCAAGTCGGCTAGATGAGGGCGATCATTGTCTATACATATTGAGTGCAAATGAAGAAACCAAAATAAGCACTATAAAAAGGTCAATATCCAAAGTGGAGCTCCTCATAGACGGATTTATAAGGCTTCCAATGTCATAAGTGTTTGACAATTAAGTAAACACAGCCACCTAGTTAAGATTTTAAATAGCAAAATAACTAATTGAGCCAAAAGGCTTGAGGCGGCGTTTACTTTTGATATATTACAACCATATATGAAATATGTTCACTCTATTTCGTATAAAGTGATAAAGGACTGGTAGTTTAATTTTCCCTTAATGATGAGTAGACCCTACGTTTCCATTAAGGTAAACACAGCCTTGTTTCGTAAAAGGTATGTGGGGAGCTATGTGAAATTCAATGGAAACGTAAGGTCTATCCATAGAATTGTGGGAAAATTCAATTAGCGGTCATTCGTCACCTAAAACGAAATATGGTGAACACATATCATGTACCTGATTTACTGGTAGTCTCGAAACCCTACTGATAAAGGGAGAATATTGCCAATAGGGCAGAATCAGTTAAAGACAAGTCACTCATTTATCACATTTTATAATAGAATTTTCGAACAACTGTATTCTAATTCACGATCTAAGATAGCACCGCCGCTCACTTGATTTGAAAATAAATAAAGTAGTCGATTGACTCGTCAGCTTTGCACGTTTTCACCGGAATCGAAGGAGATTGCTTCGGAAACAGTGTCAAGAAGAATGCACCAGTAATCCAATCGACAACTGGTCAAAAGGAATCCGCCGTCGTCTTCTAATGGGATTGACCTTAGAATCTCTTCACCAAACATTTTCACCTATGATTTGCCTGCCCTAAGACCAACTAACTAGTGTGGCAATGTAACATATAGAAAATAAATCCAGGTGAGATCGAAGCCTAGGACTACCTTGGGTGAAAATAATTTTAGTAGGCAAGGCCAAGCAAAATTCAGTGATATAGTTATAAGAAAATTCAATTATTAGACCTTAATCATGCTATGCGATCTAGAGTAAATACAATTATTAATCGAGATCTACTGGTAGTATAGAAATCGACTGATTATAATTGCTTCAAGATATTATTCTTAAATAACCGGCGGAGAAGTAAAGAAATGTTGAATGAGTGGATGCAATAAAATTGGGATAACTTCTTGCAGGAACCGCCATGACTATTATGTAGCCTCAAAAGATGCTTCGCTATTAATGTTGCTTACCTATCTTCTTAAGTTCCGCATATAAGCTACTTCTGCCATAAGTATTTGCTGGCCTACATTG